ATCACTATAGAGATGGCATATTATTATGAGGAGCAAGAGTGATTGTCCCAAGCAAAGGTTGCTGCCAGCTACTGGCTGAACTCCACCAGGGTCATCCAGGGGTTTCCAAAACAAAGATGTTGGCAAGAAGTTATGTCTGGTAGCCAGGATTAGATGCAGACATAGCTGTGTTGGTGGGGCAGTGCCCAGAGTGCTAGCAAAGACAAAAATTACAGCCAGCAGTTTCCCCCACATTTTTAAGAATGGCCTGGTAGATCCTGAACTTGGTTACTTGTTGACTATACAGATTCCTTCATGGGTTCAAAGTTCTTAATTACAGTGGACACCCACTAACCAGTTAGATATGCACAGAGTTCATTCATCAAACACAGGGGCGATTATAGAAAAGCTGCGCGCATCTTTTGCAATACACGGACTCCCAAAAGTGTTGGTCACAGACAACGGGCCATCGTTTACCAGCAGGGCATTTGAGTATTTCCTAAAGGCGAATGGCATTTGACATATAAGGACAGCTCCATACTATCCATCATCCAATGGTCTGGCAGAAAGAGCAGCTTAAATAAGCAGGCTGCAGCTTCACTAGATAATAACTGTCCTGGTTCCTATTTGATTATAGGACCAGACCTCATGCAATGACAGAGATCGCTCCAGCAGAGTTGCTAATGGGGACAAGAGTCCACACCAGTTTCATCTGATCTACCTGGACCTGGGGGGAGGGTGAAACAGCATCAGAAATGCTAAAGTCGGACACAAGACTCATCTAAGCGAGAGAGACAGTTTACTTCAGCGGATGAAATTTGGTGTAGGAACAACGGGAATGGCCCTGCACGGGTAAGAGGCATGTTCGACATGAGGTCAGGTCCAGTGACATATAATGTTAAGGTAGGTGCGATGGTCTTGAACAAGCACATGGACCATATGAAAGCTGCAAGTGATGGCTTTAGGTTCTGGATCAACTCAGACTCCTTCCTCATTAACCTGATCTTGCTTAAGCCCTTCAGGACGGAACTGCCTTGTCTAGCCAGGTGACAGCTCTGATGGATCCAAATCAGATCGTGATACACGAAGAAAGGGAAAATTGGTATGAGGGAAAGGGGTTTGGGTGGAAAGCAAGAGGCCCATAGCAACACCATCTGCAAGTTATACATTGTGGCTACAGTGCGACTTGAGAAGCTACATAAGACAGGCATATAACATCATCCTGAATGTTTTTGGCAACACGAGTTGCACTGCTGTCCAATTATACAGTCTCCATCAATGGGCAGAGGCATTTTAGGCATGCCTGATTCCTGCTGGCTTTCTGTTCCCTCCTGTAATGTGAGAGCTCGTTCCCCACAAAAGAGAGGCAAGAGTGTCAATGAGGGCTTTTTACAATGTGTTAGAGTGATATGCCTGTGGTAGCTAAATAGATGGAAATATGTGGAGGGTGCAAGATGTGGGAGTGAGGCCTGCAGTGATGGTAACGTCTTCAGAGTGTTGGTGCAAACTTGGCCTCTTTCTGCACTGTCGGTTTTCTATGGTTCTATGAACTCCATTCTCCTGCCTTCTCCCCATGACCCTTGATCCCTCTATTAATCAAGAATCTAACTCTCTCTGTCTTAAATACACTCAATGACTTGGCCTGAACAGTCTTCTGCAGCAATGAGTTCCACAGATTCACCACCCTCTGGCCAAAGAAATCCCTCCTCATCTCAGTTCTGAAGGGTCGTCCCTTCACTCTTAGTCTGTGCCCTCAGGTCCTTTCTAGTAGTGGAAACATCTTCTCCATGTCCAATCTATCCAGGCCTCTCAGTATTCTGTAAGTTTGAATGAGATTCCCCCATCATCTTTCTAAACACCATCAAGTATAGATGCAGAGTCCGCAACTGCTCCTCATATGACAATCCTTTCATACCTAGAATCAATCTTGTGAACCTCCTCTGCACCCCCTTCAAGGCCAGCACACCCTTCCTTAGATATGGGGCCCAAAATTGCTCTCAGTATTCCAAATGCAGTCTGACCAGAGTGTTATAGTGCCTCAGCAGTACATCTCTATTCTTGTATTTTAGCCCTCTTATTGATTTTGTTCTCAGTAGGGCAGACCCCCTTTCTCACCTAACATTTACACCTATTTTACATTTCAATCGTTCTTTATCACGACTAGCACTCTCTTTGTCTTTTGCTCTGGAAACCCTCACAATCTGTTAGACTCACTCCCCCTCCCCCTCCCCCTCTGATAATTGTATTAAAACTTAGAGTAAGGAAGCAGATGTACTGTAAGTCAAATTTGCAGATGACACAAAAATAGAAAATAGAAAGATAAGTTGCGAGAGGGATACAAATAGTTTACAGAGAGGTAATGATAGGCTAATTAGGTGGTGAACAAAATGTTGGCAGATGGAGTATAATGTGGGAAAATTTGAAGTTATTCATTCTGGAAGGTGAAACAAAAGAACTCAGTATTATTTAAATAGAGAAAAAACTGCAACACAAGGGGACTTGGGGGTTATTTGTGCATGAAACACATAGAGTGAGCTTACAGGGACAGTAGGTAATGAGGAAGGCTAATGGAATGTTGGCCCTTATTTCAAGGGGGTTGGAGTTTTAAAGACAGGGAAGTCTTACTGAAACTGAACAAGGGTGTTGGTGAGACCCAATCTGGAGCACTGTGAGCATTTTTGGTCCCCTTATTTAAGGAAAGATACTGTTTCATTGCAAGCAGTTCAGAAAAGGTTCATTTGGAAGGATTTTCTTATGAACAAAGGCCAAACAGGTTGGGACTCTATTCATTGGAATTCGGAAGAATGAGAGATGAACTCATTGATACATCTTGGATTCTAAAAGGGCTCGACAGGGTAAATGCTGAGAGAATGTTTTCCTCTCATGGAAGAGCCTAGGACCAGAGGACATAGTCTCAGAATAAAGGGGCACCAGTTTACAACTGAGATGAGGAGGAATTTGTTCCCTCAGAAGGTTGTGAGTTTTTGGAACTCTTTGCTCCAGAGAGCTGTGGAGGCAGAGTCAGTGTGTATATTTAAGATTGAGTAGGCAGATTCTTGATCAGTCGGGGAATCAAGGGTTGCACGGAAAACACAGGAAAGTGGATATTGGGAATGTCAGATCCGCCATGATCCTACTGAATGGTGGCCTACTCCTGTTCTTATTTTGTGACCTTATGGTGTTATAATCACCATTTTCTTGCCCCTTTCAGTTCTGAAGAAGTTGTAACAGATTCAAAATATTGACCCTGTTTCTCTCTCCACAGATGCTCTCAGACCTGCTAAATTTCTCCAGTATTTTCTGTTTTTAATTTCAGATAGCCAGCATTTGCAGTATTTTGCTTTTACTTGAGTGTTTAATTCACTGCCTCTTCTCTTCCTGAATGGTCACCTTGACAAAGTTCTGCTCTTCTCTCCAAAGGGATTTCCTTTTTAAATTTTTCAGCTTGTTCACCTTCATCGCTTTCTATTTTCATCCTAGAGTGTGATAAAGTGTTTGCCAATACTCACTTTCACAGCAACATCTCCTTCCACAGTGACTGTCTTTGGCTCTGCTTTACCCCACTCAGATTCCAACTTTCATGTTTCGAATCTACCCAGAATTACAGGTATCTCCGTGATATACAACACTTCTTAGAGAACTGTTCCCTCCAAATCCTAAGATCCACACTCAGTGCCATGTCCCACCACATGAATACTCGTGGCCTGTCTCTCGATCAGCACTGCCAGTCACTATCTCAGTGTAATGTTTGAGGATGTTATTTAAGACATTGCCAAAGTTGTTACTGTAGATTTACACATTGTTCTTTTTCATCCTTGGTGAGTATAAGTTAAATTACAGAACTGAAAGAAATGTATCAGTATTTTCTTTTCAGTGAACAGACTTGTTAACAGATATAATTTTAATAGTTTAAACAGGTACTATTTAAAATGATATTTATACCTTTAGTAGATGGGCACAAAAACCAATCAAAAGCTAATGGAATGGTGACCTTTATCTCAAGGATGGGGGAATATAAAGGATGGAACTTATGCCGAATTTGTATAGAGCCAGGTGAGACACCATCTGGAGTCCTGAGTTCGGTTCTCGTCCTGCATAACACGAGGGGGATGTATTGGCCTGAGACAGGGTGCAGTGCAGATCCACAACATAATATCAGGGCTTGGGGGATTAAATTATGAGGACATGTTGGACAAACCTGTTTTATAATCCCTTGTGTGCAGATGATTAATGGGATATTAAAAGGATTTAGATGAATAGAGTTGTACAGCACGGAAACAGACCATTCAGTCCAACTCGTCCATGCCGACTGGATGCCCTAAATTAATCGAGTCTCATTTGGCCCATTTCCCTCTAAACCGTTCCTACTCACGTATTCATCCGGATGACTTTTAAATGTTGTAACTGTACCAGCCTCCACCACTCCCTCTGGCAGCTCATTCCATCCATACAGCACCCTCTGCGTGAAAAAGTTGTCCCTTGGGTCCCTTTTATATCTTTCGCTTCTCAGCTTAAACTTATGCCCTCTACTTTGGATTCCCCTACCCTGGGAAAAAGACCTTGGCTATTAACCATTTATGCTATTTGATTGGATAGGATAAATATAATCACAACTAGGAGCGAATTCAGGAGGTACCCTTTTTGCACTAAGGATGCAAGAAATCTGGCATTGTCTCCCCCAAAAGAATTTGGATGCTAAAATATTAAAGCTGTCAAGTCTGAGATTAGTGTGTTTTTATTCAGTAAGGGCCCAAAGATTATGGAGCAAAGCCAGGCAAATGATGTGAAGGTGCAAATCCATCAAAATCTAGTTAAGACAAAGAGCAGGTTAGAAAAGCTGAAAGGCCCATTCCTTTTCCTACATCAATAAAGTTTGAATAACTAAGAATTATTTGTTGCAAATGTCATAATTGAACACAAGATTTAAGTCATGTTAACAGCAATTAGTTTTTAGGTTGTATAGTAAGAAAGACACTGTCAGTTGATCCTCTCCACTAACATCTCTTGTGTTCTCTTTATAGAGGTATACTTCACTGGCCATGCCATCAGACATTTACAACCACAATCTCACAGGTTAGGGCCAAAGTTTAATTCACTTTTTCTCTTCTGTTTGTTTTTTTTTATGCGCATTGCTTCACAAGCAAGATGTTGTTGTTAAAGCTGATGAGGTACTCGTTCAATTTCAGTTCTCCTGATAAACGCCTGGGTTCAAAATCCTCAGTGACAAGACCAAATCAATTACAGACCAAGCTCCAGCAGCACAAACCTTTCAGCCAACATCCAGCACCTTGGCCACAACCTCGGCCTCTTATTAAGAAATCAGGTAATATATCCTGTTATACAATGCATCAAAACTGTTGCCAATGTTTTCTTTGGTGTGTTATAAAATGCTTCCTTTATTAGATTTGCAATTCTTTTTTAAGGTCAGGCAATCACCCTTAAAGCACATGCTTTTTAAAATAGCTAACATTTTTTAAACTTATATGATATAATTCTTGTAATAAAGTGACCAAGGACTCTTACTGCTGGCAATACCAGTTTGCGCTTTCTACATTGAACTAACCCAAACTGGAATGAATGACAGCATGACACAAGCTAACCAATATGCACACAGTATAACTTTTCATACTATTTATGTCCTCATTTATGTATTTGCAAATATGTAAAGGAAGGCATGCTATTTATACTTGTGTTGGGCTACTCTCTGAAGGGTTTGTAGAATATGATATCAATGTATAACTTTTCTGAGAGAGCTCAATGATTAACTTACATTATGTTTTGAGAGAGTAATAGATACGAGGATGGATTGAATAGAGCCTGGCGGAGTGGACAGGTAGTGCTAGGGTTGCCAGTAGAATCAGGCATGAGTATCCATCTTGGATTCTTCAGATTAGAAAGCTGTTCCCAATTAATTATGATCAGGAAGGGCATGAAATGGGAACCTTGTTTGCCAATGGTGGGAAGATAATTTGGTTTGTTAAGGAGTCACTTAAATCCAATTATTTCTGAGCCTACTGAAAATTTAATGGTGACTCAGGTATTCTCCTGAACTCTCATAGCTTTTCAGCCTCTTAAACGCCACCCACCAAACCCCTGTCAGGTTTGCCTATGGCTTCACATTGGGGCACCATCACTTGAGCCCAATTCAGAACCTGGCATTGGGAAGGGGTGGTGCAGTGGGGGAAGAGTTCGGGCGGCTGCTGAAAGCTATCACCATATCCTTTTCTCCAACCTTCTCCCACCTCATCAGTGACCCCCTTCCCAATATACCGGTATCCTGACAACCAGCCTCGATCCTGGGACTGGGCAACAGTTTATTACAGAGAGTAGCCACCATTCCTGGTTGTGGTCCAGGCAATAGGGAGCTGTTGGCTCAAGACACTGGAATCTCTTGGGGATGGATTTCCATCATGTGGGAAGCCTGACTCTGGCCACACTTAACCACTCTGGACCTTCCCCTTGGAAATGACAGGTTTGCTAACCGGTGTGTGGGACCCATGTTGCCGCAACAAAATTTATCCCATGTCCTCATTGGAAACTGCCTTATGCATAATGTTTAGTGAAGAATTTTCTGCCACAGGGCAGATTGTCTATGGCCACATTTTATAAATATTATGGTGAAAAGGGTCAAGCTGTGGCCACATTTTCTAGAACACTCCAAGAGGGCTTACTGGTAGATCCAGAGCTACACCATAGAGTGTTCATTTTTCTGTTGAAATGGCAGCTGGTTTGATTCAGAATGGATTTTTTTGAAAAAAAACTGGAACAGGTCTTCAAGAAAAACAGGTAAATCAATCATATTTATTATATTGAAAATAAAACGATTTGACAACTGTCACAGATCTTCATGGTTTGTGGTTTTAGAGGTCGTGACATAAACCCTGAAAGCTGAATTCTGACAGGCTCAGAATGGTAATCCCTCCCCCTTAATTCTGGCAGCAAATCATTCTCCCATCCCCTTGATGAGGGAAGTCATTCTATTTGATACGAGTACTCAGTCAACTCACAGTGCTGGGTGGTTATGTCACTATGCAGATGAAGCAACATAAAACTAGAAAGCATCTGTGATATTATCTGTACCCTAAGCTGTTAGGACCTGTGATAACTGTTGTTTCAAAGAGTGGGTAAGGGGGATTTTGAGGCTGATCCTGTGGCTGATGTGTACCTTCATGTTTTATAGGTGCCTCAACAGATGCCCTCAACCCTCTGTGAGGTGGCCATGTGAAGGAACACGGATTAGGGTGATATCAGCTCTCCTTTCTTCTTACCCCGTAGATGGTGGGTCTCCAATATTATGAACTTAATTCCTTCCTCTTCACCTTAATTTATCAAGCTCCTCAGATCCTGTGATTAGGGTCAACATTTACAGATGTATCCAAGTCAGTATGAACATTATGAATATCTGTTTTCAGACTTTCCATCTTTTAATGGATAGCTACATAAAACAGCAATTCTTTTTCGTTTTCTTTCCTTCTTGAAATAAAGAATTAAAAATATACAATGAATACTATACATGTTTTTGACCATTGCAATGTGATATTGTCATCAGTACCCAGCTAGCCAGTTATGTGCAGTTGAGATATGTATATAGTGGATAGAATAATATCATTTAAGCTGTTAAAATAATTTACAATAATTCCTGGATTCTGTTGATGTGGTTTTCTTTGTTAAACCTTGTGTTATTTTACAATTCTTTTCTCTAGATTGCTTCTGTGGCTCAGCCTATATTTGTCAGTACAATCTAACTTCTATGTAGATGATGTAATTAAATCTTCAGAGTATCATTTGTAGATTGTATGAATTTTTGTGGTATTCACTTCTGGTTTTCCATTCTGAGCAGCAGAAGGTGCAAGGGTTTCTCTAGGTCCAGGACAGTAGGAATATGGTAGAATATGGTCACCATAGTCCTACAAGACAACAGGGCTGCTCTCTCATTAGAGAGAGACAAATGGTGGGGTTTTAACCTGAGAGTCACCATACCTCAGGTGAGGGTAGTAGTTGAGAAAAAAGTCCTTCATGATCACCACAGTTGGTGTGGGAATTGAACCCATGCTTTTTGCGTTACTCTGCATTACAAACCAGCCATCCAGTCAACTGAACGAACTGACCTCCAGTACTTTCCATGTGACTGGATTTGTGAGACTTCAGCGCCACTCAAGAAGCGTGAAGGACAAGGCCTTCTGCTTGATCGACACCCATCCACCAACTTAAATATTCACTCTCCCTCCATCACTGATAGCAACTTAATACAAGATGCACTATTATAACTCATCAATGCACCTTCAACAGCACCATCCAAATCTATTACCTGTACCACTTAGAAGAACGAGGACAGCAGATGTATGGGAACACCATCACTTACAGATTACCCCCAGTCCACACATATTCCTGACTTGAAACTATATGGCTATTGCTTTATTCTTGCAGGCTTAAAATCCTGAACACAGTAACAACATTGGGTGTACCTGCACGAGGTGAATTGCACTGGTTCACCGCCACCTCTTCAATGGCAATTAGAGGGTCAATAAATGATAGCCTTACCAGTGACTCCCATACCCCAAAAAAGAAGAGAATAACTGGTACAATCTGTAATTCTCTCTTGTTATCATCTCACCACTCTTCCTATGAACATGTTTTGCAACTAGTATAAATCTCGCCCTAAAACTTTGTGACTTTTTCTGATCCTGCAGACTTTACAATCCTCAATTGCTCATGGCCGTTCCACTTTATTTCATTCCAACTTACTTCATAAGCTGATTTTATTAACATGGCATATTTGAGCCTGAGCCAAGTTCCGAAAAAGTTAACTATATATATATTTATATAGATTAAACAAATAGATTACATACAAAACAAAGGAAGTTGCGGTGTTCATGTGAGCTAGATGTGTACAGTCATGATTTTAAAATTATCATAATGGGTGAGGGGAAAGATTGGGACACGTTTCGAAACATAAAGATTTCTTGAAGTACGGAGGGCTTTGGCTTAGTATTTCAGACAGAGATCAATGAAAGACCCATCTGTAAGCTTGTAATGAAGCTGGAAGTTCTAGAGGAAGGGTGATCAAATTCCATTTGTAATTTAGCTGTGTTATATAACCAAAACATTTTGCTGATGGTAAAATAATGAATTTGCATTTCTGATTGAATCATCCCAAAGCAATGTACACTGCCATATGTTTATGTAGTAATTCAGGGTGAGGTCTGTGTTGGAAGATGCTTCAGTTTAATTCATAAACAGAAATTACTAGAGAAACTCAGCAGGTCTGGCAGCATATGTGGAGAGAAACAGCGTTAACATTTCAAGTCCAATTACTCTTCTTGAGGACACCTCTCCACAGATGCTGCTAGACCTGCTGAGTTTCCCCAACAATTTCTGTTTATGTTTCAGATTTCCAGCATTCACAGTTCTATGTTTTATTTTATTGCTTAAGTTTAATTTATCTTTTTTTTTTGCTAGCAGAAACAGGCATTAACTTTGGATTTAGAAGGGAAAATTAGTTACAAAGATTTTCCTTAGTTTATAGTGGTGGAAATCTACAGTGGTCTTCACAAAGCTTTGCAGCAGACATCAGTTAGGATAATAAATTAGCAAGAGCTGTTCAGAAGCCGTTGAAGCAGACTAGGACAAAACAGCCTATACATGTCCAAAGCCAGGACAAGAAGTTGAATAGTTCACAGTCATGAAATCTGTAAAGAAACTGGAGGATCATTTAGCCAGAACCTTGACAAATAGTTGAAATACTGAGGAAAATAAAAAATAACATTCCAGAGGGCTATGGCATACCTTTGGGTTGATTCCAGCAAAGGGCATGAACCATTAATAGTTTCTAAGGTAAGGGAATTTTTAACTTTTTTTTCCTTTCATGGGATATGAGCATCAAAACAGCTAGCGTTTGTTTCCCATCCATAATTTCCCCTTATCCTGAATTGCTGTTGATTGTCGTTTCATGGTCACCATTAATCAGCCCATTTATCAATTCTAGAATAATTGAATTTAAATTCCACCACCTGCCATGGCAGGATTTGAACATTTTTACTCTAGAGCATTTGCCTAGATCTCTGGATTATTGGTCCAATGCTGTTGCTACCATACTTCTATTTCACCAAACTCTTGGAGGAGGAAATCAAAAATAGAACTGAGTTTTTGGCATCAGTTTTTTTAACTTGCACTCTTAAATATCTTTTGATTATCAATAAAGTTTGTTTTTGTTTAAAGTATTTAATCTTGTGGCATAGTTCTGTTCATTGGAGGATGTTCAGATTTCTCTTTACATGTGTAGAGTCCCAAATAGGATCAGACGATAGAGTTCATATTTCAAGTAGAATATGACTGTTCTTCTTGCAGTTCATTGCCTGCTATCCCTATATAACCTGGCTCTACTTAGTTAATTTTTTACCCTATATATTTAACAAGCTTAACTTATGATTTTTAGGCTTACCTAATTGTTTCATTTTCAGTAATAGATAGATTCCAGTTGAATATTTGCTGGTACATGAACCATTGCAAATACTGAAGGTAAAAAGCAACATCTCTTTTCACACTGCACCAAATTCACACTTGCACCAATTTGATAATTATTATAAATAACAAGGTATAGAGCTGGATGAACACAGCAGGCCAAGCAGCATCAGAGGAGCAGGAAAGCTGACGTTTCGGGTCTGGATCCTTCTTCAGAAGTGGGGGAGGGGAAAGCGATTCTGAAATAAATAAAGAGTGAGGGGGAGGGGATGGAAGATGGATAAAGGAGCAGATAGGTGGAGAGGAGACGGACAGATCAAGGAGGTGGGGATGGAGCTAGTTAAGATGAGTGCAGGTGGGGAATTAGGGTGGGGGTTGGTCAGTCCAGGGAAGACGGATAGGTCAAGGAGGCAGGGATGAAGCTGGTAGTAGGAGGTGGGGGTGGGGGTTGAGGTGGGAGGAGTGGATAAATGGGAGAAAGGATGGACAGGTTAGGGAGGCGGGCACGAGCTGGGCTGGTTTTGGGATGTGGTCGGGGGTGGGGAGATTTTGAAGCTTGTGAAGTCCACATTAACACCATTGGGCTGCAGGGTTCCCAAGCGAAATATGAGGTGCTATTCCTGCAACCTTCAGGTGGCATCGTTGTGGCACTGGAGGAGGCCCAGGATGGATATGTCGTCCGAGGAGTTGGAGGGGGAGTTGAAGTGGTTCGCGACTGGGAGGTGCAGTTGTTTGTCACAAACCAAGCGTAGGTGTTCCACAAAGTGGTCTCCAAGCCTCCTCTTGGTTTCCCCGATGTAGAGGAGACCACATTGGGAACAGCGGATACAGTATACCACATTAGCAGGTGTGCAAGTGAACATCTGTTTGATGTGGAAGGTTTTCTTGGGGCCTGGGATGCGGGTGAGGGGGGAGGTGTAGGGGCAGGTGTAGCACTTCCTGCGGTTGCCAGGGGCGGTGGGGCTGGTGGGGAGTGTGGAGCGGACAAGGGAGTCACAGAGAGAGTGGTCCCTCCGGAAAGCAGATAAGGGTGGGGAGAGAAAAATGTCTTTGGAAGTGGGGTCAGATTGCAGGTGGCGGAAGTGCCGGAGGATGATGCATTGGATCCGGAGGTTGGTGGGATGGTACGTGAGGATGAGGGGGATTCTGTTTTGGTTGTTATTGCGGGGAGGGGGTGTGAAGGCTGAGTTGCGGGAAACACCAGAGACGCGGTCGAGGGTGTTTTTGACCACTGTGGAGGGAAAGTTGCAGTCCTTGAAAAACGAGGACATCAGGGATGTCCAGGAGTGGAATGCCTCATCTCGGGAGCAGATGCGGCGGAGGTGAAGGAATTGGGAATAGGGGATGGCATTTTTGCAGGAAGGTGGGTGAGAGGAGGTGTATTCTAGGTAGGTGTGGGAGTCGGTAGGCTTGAAATGGAGATCGGTTTCCAGGTGGTTGCCAGAGATGGAAACAGAGAGGTCCAGGAAGGAGAGAGAGGTATCGGAGATGGTCCAGGTGAACTTAAGGCTGGGGTGGAAGGTGTTAGTGAAGTGGATGAACTGTTCGAGCTCCTCGTGGGAGCATGAGGCGGTGCCGATACAGTCATCGATGTAACGGAGGAAGAGGTGGGGGATAGGGCCAGTGTAGCTCCAGAAGAGGGATTGTTCCACGTGTCCTACAAAGAGGCAGGCATGGCTTGGGCCCATGCGGGTACCCATGGCCACCCCTTTTGTCTGTCTGAAGTGGGAAGAATTGAAGGAGAAGTTGTTAAGGGTGAGGACGAGTTCAGCTAAGCAGATAAGGGTGTCGGTGGAGGTGGACTGTTCGGGCCTGCGGGACAGGAAGAAGTGGAGGGCCTTTAGGCCATCTGCATGGGAATGCAAGTGTATAGGGACTGGACATCCATGGTAAAGATGAGGTGTTGGGGACCAGGGAATCGAAAGTTTTGGAGGAGGTGGAGGGTGTGGGTGGTGTCACGGACGTAGGTGGGGAGTTCCTGGACCAAGAGGGAGAAAATGGAGGTGAGATAAGTGGAGATAAGTTCGGTGGGGCAGGAGCAGGCAGAGACAATGGGTCGACCAGGGCAGTCCTGCCAACATGTTCATCCTGGGCCTCCTCCAGTGCCACAACGATGCCACCTGAAGGTTGCAGGAACAGCACCTCATTTCGCTTGGGAACCTTGCAGCCCAATGGTATCAATGTGGACCTCACAAGCTTCAAAATCTCCCCTCCCCCGACCGCATCCCAAAACCAGCCCAGCTCGTCCCCACCTCCCTAACCTGTCCGTCCTTTCTCCCACCTATCCACTCTTCCCACCTCAACCCCCATCCCCCCCTCCTACCTACCAGCCTCATGCCTGCCTCCTTGACCTATCTGTCTTCCCTGGACTGGCCAACCCCCACCCTAATTCCCCACCTACCTCACCTTTACTAGCTCCATCCCTGCCTCCTTGACCTGTCTGTCTCCTCTCCACTTATCTGCTCCTTTATCCATCTTCCATCTGCCTCCCCCTCTCTCTCTATTTATTTCAGAATCCCCTTCCCCTCCCCCATTTCTGAAGAAGGGTCCAGACCCAAAACGTCAGCTTTCCTGCTCCTCTGATGCTGCTTGGCCTGCTGTGTTCATTCAGCTCTACACCTTGTTATCTCAGAATCTCCAGCATCGGCAGTTCCTACTATCTCTGATAATTATTATACTTTGTTTGTGATGGACTTTGTTCCACTACCGCTCCGTACACATAAAATGAATTCAATTGTTCATAGAAACCAACATAATATCTACCATTAGGCTGATTAGAGAAATAGAAAATGCAACTTAGGTTGTAGACATGCTCACTGAGCCAATAGGTTTGGTTGCACATGTTTCGTCACCCTGATAGATAACGTCATCAGTGCGCCTCCAGTGAAGCGTCGGTGTTCTGTCCTGCTTGTTATTTATATGCCTCAGTTTGCTGGGGTGGTTGGTATTACTTCCCGTTCTGTTTCTCAGTGGTTTGTACAATGGGTCTAATTTGATATGTTTTTTGATGGAGTTCCAGTTGGAATATGAGGCCTCCAGGAATTCCCTGGTGTGTCTCTGTTTGGCTTGTGCAATTATGGATGTGCTGTCCCAGTCGAATTCGTGTCCCTCGTTGTCCATGTGTAGTGAGACAAGTGAGAATTGGTTGTGTCTCTTGATGGCTAGTTGGTGTTTGTGTATCTATATAGTCAGTTTTCTTCCAGTTTGGCCTATATTTCTCACAGTCCTTGCATGGTGTTTTGTATATTACACCGGTTTTGCTGGTTTTGGGTATGGGATCCTTTATGTTCATCAGTAGCTGTTGAAGGGTGGTTGTTGGTTTGTGGGCTACACTGATAGCAGGGTTCTGAATAGTCTTGTGATCATCTCTGAAATGTCCTTGATGTACAGTAGGGTGATTAGTGAGTCTGATCGTGTCATGTCTTCCTGTTGTGGTCTATCTCGGAGGTTATGGCAGATGGTGCTTTTCGGGTATCCATTCCTTTTGAAGACTCTGTATAGGTGCTCCTGTTCCACTTTGCGTAGTTCCAGATTGCTGCAGTTGTGGCTCATTTAAATAGTGTCCTGATGCAGCTCTGTCACTATTTAAACGAGCCACAATTCATCGCTGCTTGTCTGACTTAGAGGCCTGTGTGTAGTGGTGTGCCTCAGGGGTCAGTGCTGGGCCCATTGCTGTTCGTTATCTGTATCAATGATTTGGATGAGAATGTACAAGACATGATTAGTAAGTTTACGGATGACAGTAAAATAGGTGGTATCGTGGACAGTGAGGAAGGTTATCAGAAATTGCAGCAGGATCCTGATCAGCTGGGGAAGTGGGCTGAGAAATGGCAAATGGAGTTTAATATAGATAAGCGTGAGGTGTTGCATTTTGGAAAGTCAAATCCAGGTAGGAGTTTCATGGTGAGTGGTAGGGCCTTAAGGAGTGTGGTGGAATATAGGGACGTTGGAGTTCAGGTGCACGGTTCTCTGAAAGTGGAGTCACAGGTAGATAGGGCAGTGAAGAAGGCTTTTGGCACACAGGCCTTCATCAGTCAGGGTATTGATTATAGAATTTGGGAAGTTATGATATGGTTGTACATGACATTGGTGAGGCCATACTTGGAGTATTGTGTTCAGTTTTGGTCACCTTGCTATAGGAAGGATGTTATTAAACTGGAAAGAGTGCAGAAGAAATTTACAAGGATGTTGCCAGGACTCAAGGGACTGAGTTATAGGGAGAGGTTGGGCAAGCTAGGACTTTTTTCTTTAGAGTGTAGGAGAGGGGGGATCTTATAGAACTGTATAAGATCAGGAGAGGCATGGACAGGATGAATGCACTCAGTGTTTTACCCAGGATTGGGGAATCGAGGACTAGAGGGCATCAGTTTAAGATAAGAGGAGAAAGAATACATGGGAACCTCAGGGGCAACTTTTTTACACAGAGAGTGCTATGCATATGGAATGAGCTGCAAGCGGAAGTGGTTGAGGCGGGTACATTAATAACATTTAAAAGGCAGTTGGACAAATACATGGATAGGAAAGGTTTAGAAGGATATAGGTCAAGTGCAGGGAAATGGACTTAGCATGGATGGACATTTGGTCGGCACGGCCCAGTTTGGGCCAAAGGGCTTGTCTCCGTACTGTAGGTCTTTATGACTCTTCTCACCAAAGATGCTGCCAGACCTGTTGAGTTTCTCCAGCAATTTCTGTTTTTGTTTCAGATGTTCAGCATGTGCAGTGCTTAGTTCTATTAAATAACTATCTTTCTGATGTCTATTGAAAAATATGTATGGGGTAAGACACAGGGAAGAACGTCAATACCCTTCTTTGATAGTGTCATGATCTCTTATATACAGAGGGGGGTTATGTTTAATGTCTCATCCAAAAGACAAGAATACAGCTTAGGTATGATTACAAATTAAAAATTGATGACTGAATGTTATTTTGCCCCTGCAGAAGGGAGTCATAATGCACAACAAGTAGCACTGCAGGTCTGTTTAACATTTAAAAAAAAAAGCTAAAACAAGTATGTGATATGCAATGCAGTTGTCAGTTTGCACAGATCAGTTCCCATGAACAGCAGTCTGACAACACTAGATAATCTGTTTTTAGTGATGTTGGTTAGGGGATAAATATTGGCCATCCAAACAATGCCATGGGAACGTTTATGTCCGTCTGAAAAGGTTTAACATTTCATCTGAAAAGTGGTCTCTCCTACTGTGCAAGCACTTCCTTAGTATGCGCCAGACTGTCAGTCTACTGTGTTTTTTGCTCATATTGTCAGAGTAGGACTTGAACACTCAGTTATTTTACTCAAGACAACTGAAAGAACTGCTGTCAATCATAGGGTGACGTTGTGTACAAGTGGAATTCAGGCAGCCAATTCTCAATGCATAAAATTGAAAAGTCTATTCTGCTGTGTGTAGTGCACATATACATTTTATAAGGTGCAGTATCATTCTTTTATTATTTTCAAATTTATTTTCATTTTAATGATTGCCATATCAATGTCAATTTTAATTCGCTGTTCATTTGCATAATTGTTACAATTTGGAATTGAAGCAATGATGATTTTTCAATAAACTAATTATCTTCTGTCTATCAGATCCCCAACAGGAAGACATTAAAGTGTATCGTGGACGTTGGCGCTGTCTTCAATATCTCTGGGACCAGATTTGCTGCCAGCCACAGAAGAAAACAACTATTTTGTATGAATGAACAATTCCAATGGAGTATCGTATTGCTAAGTAAAGATTGTAAATGAAATTATTCTCAGTGTGCTTTTCTTTTTTTAAATCACCAATTCAATGTTTAAACAGACATCTCACAGATACTAAGGTGACCTGGTAGCTGTAGCACTAGGAACCTCAGCTTCTGCCTTGGATCCCTCATTGCACATTAACGTGGCAAGTCCTTATTCCCACATTTCTTGTCATGTGCATTCTGACATGCTGACATAAAAGGAGCTCAAAAGTGCCCACAGAGGTGACCTTCAATTGAATTCTCTCCCCATATTCAGAACAAATACATCGAAATAAGGGCCTCAAGAGATGAATCCTAGCAATTCTGTGCTATTTGACTGGGTGAGGCTTTACAATGAGTGATGCCACAATTAGAGTCACCAAAGTGTGCATATGTGGAATGAGGAAATTCAGCAACAGAACAGAAAATTCATTGACAGAAAGAAAATTCAGTATATAGGTTTGGTTCGGATTTGCGAAGGTTTGAAATAGTGTTAAGCAGTGGTCATTGTGGATTCATGCTCATTATTAGTAGAGAATTTACACTATAGTATGAGGACACAATCTCAAAACTTACTGAAAACACATACAAAAAAAGCTTGACACAGCAACACAATTGTAAAAGACATTGGTTAATGGAGTGGGCAAACAAGGCAGTTTCAATCTAATCAAGTATTTTTGTGGAAATAAGGACAGTTGGGAATGGCAATAAATGTTGGTCTCGCCAGCGATACCCATTTCCCGTGGAAGAATTTTAAAAATCCTACTCCAGCTCCTAAGACATGGCTTCCCAAAGGGAGGGTGGTGAGCTGAAATTCTGAGGTTGCAAATCCAAGATAGCGATGGCTGCCAGGCAGCTAAGACTTTCTTAACTACCATGCAGCTACTTAAATTCACTCTTTTTCAAACTGACAGCATGGCTTAAATAACTCAACGCCCTGACTCCTGCAGCAGTAAAAACGGTACATTTTACACCATTTTTAACAACAAAGCACAAAATCTCCTTAGAAGTTTAGCAGGCTTGCCTTTATTGCTCAGACCTTTGAGTGTAGGAGTTTGGACGTCATGTTGAGGCTGTACAGGACATTGGTGAGCCCTCTTCACTGTGTGCAGTTCTGGTCAGGAGGGATATTATTAAATTGCAGAAGGTCCAGAAAAGATTTACCAGGATGTTCCCAGGAAATTTGAGTTATGAAAATAAGCTGGACTGGCTGGGACTTTTTTCGCTGGCCTGTTAATCCAGAGACCCAGATAATGTTCTGGGGACCTGGGTTTGAATCCCACCACAGCAGATGGAGGAATTTGAATTCAATAAATATATGGAATTAATAGCTAATGATGACCGTGAATCTATTGCCAATTGTTGGGAAAAACCCATCTGGTTCACTAATGTCCTTTCAGGAAGGAAACTGCTGTCCTTACCTGGTCTGGCCTACATATGACTCCTTTGTAGCAGGAATCAGTCTTGTGAATCTCTGAATGCCAGTATATCCATTTTCAATGAAGGCAAAGGTTAAGTTGCCATTGTCCCAGAGGTCGTGGTGGTTTAACCTGAGAGTCACCATACATAAGGTGAGGAGCAAGGTTGAGAAGGTAGGGCTTTCACTTTTTTAAATTCATTAACAGGATGAGGGTGTTACTGGTTGGGCAGCATTTATTCCCCATCCCTAATTGTCCAAAGGGCAGTTAAGAGTCAACCACAATGCTGTAGGTCTGGAGTCACATGTAGGCCAGACCAGGCAAAGATGGCAGTTTCCTTCCCTAAAGGACATTGGTGAACCAAATGGGTTTTTCCAACAATCGACAATGGATTCATGGTCATCATTAGATTCTTAATTCCAGATTTTTTAAAAATTGAATTCAAATTCCACCATCTGCCATGGGGCGATTCAAACCCAGGTCTCCTGACTATTAAATAAAAACCAAAAGAACTGCGGATGCTGTAAATCAGGAACAAAAACAAAGTTGCTGGAAAAGCTCAGCAGGTCCGGCAGCATCAGTGAAGGAGAAAACAGAGTTAACGTTTCAGGTCCGGTGACCCTTCCGAGGCCATCACGTCCTCATGCAACCTCAGCTGCAGACTCCCCCTTTTTAAACATGAACACCAAAAATGTACACAGTTTTCCAGGTGCTGCCTCACCAACACCCCTTAGAGTTGTGATAAGATTTTTTTTAAGTGCCAATTCCCTAGCAAGAAAAGCCAAAATTTAAACAGGTCCAGGCAGCAGGCTGCAGAGGGGGGTCACATCTGCCAACTATTTGCCCCTCTTCGCAGTTATGTTTGTGCCCAGGCATCCTTGGAGAGGGAGCCCATGGTGTCCATCAATGTTCTAGATGCTTTAGAGAGAGATGGGCGGGGTAGGGATAGTGTGCTTTTATTTCCCACTCTGACACCATTTTGATTTAGTCCCTTCTCTCTTCTCCCCCAATCTCCTTCACTTTCGATGGTTTGCATTGGCCATAATGGGCTTTCCGTTCAAATATTGAATTGTCTATACAGGTGTTTTCTGGTGGTGGATAGTAATATTAAAATAAACACGCAAACAAAAACTCACGGTGATTTTGGCGGTGGGAAGATCGCTCAGCTGTGTGTGATAATACTTCTGGGTAGGAAAAAATAAAAGATGAATTTCCATCTGCTTGCACCTGCATGCTATCTTTTTTGTGTTTCTCCACAAACACCCAGATCCCTCTGTTTTTTGCACATTTTTCTTGGAGCCTCTCTGATTTAATTAAGTCTTCCTCTTGATCCTTCGGACCAAAAGGCATGACCTCACACCCCGACATTAAAAGTCATCTGCGCAGTTTTTATTTGCCCTAGAACTGGTCATTGTCTGGTGAGATCTAAAATTAAATATGATAATAAATTAGGCAAGTTCGTTCCGAATTGAAAAACGTAGCGGGGAGACATTCAGATTCTGGCTGCCTGTTACACGATAAGAAAACAGGGTCATTAATAGGTAACAGTGAGAGATACTCGGTTGCTAAGTGACTATGTGGCTCCTTGGATACAGGTTACTGTGGACGCTGAGGTGAGTTGGCGCTGGGCTCAGAGCCCGGACGCGGCCGCGCAGCCAGATGCAGAAGAAACATGGTCATGAGTACGAGGGGCTGGGAGCGCCGAAGCCTCCGTGGCGGGTTAGCCTGGCCGCCCGGAAAACGGGCCTGTACCGGCCTGACCTGCCCACCTTACGCCGCATGAACATGGACGATGAAGCTAGCAAACTGCCCAACGAGCACTGCAGGAACACCACCACATGCACCGCTGGTAACAAGGATCGGGAGCCGGAGGGAGGGGCAGGATTTTGGTAGGGGTGGGGGCAGAGGAGGACAAAGAAGGTGTACAGGACCAGGAGCAAACAAAAGGGCGGAGGGAGGAAAATTGGGCGGGAGAAAGGTAAGAAAAGTGGGATAGTGAACGGAGGAAAGCAGAAACAGGTAAGTATGGAGCTCAGTAGGAGGTGGGAGAAGCGTCTAGGGATGTGGAAGAAAGATCCTTAGGAGGGAAAGGTAGAGATTACGAAAGAGGGGTGCAACAGGGCCTGTTAGAGCACAAGAAACCTCAGAGGAGAAAAAGGATGATTGTATGACAGGAAGGATCCCAGAGAGAGAGGCACCGGGATGTAAGGATAAGAAGCATGTAACAGGAGAGGCAAGGACCTCAGAGAACGGAGGGAGAAAACTTTGACGGATGCATTTAAGTGTGTATTGATGCAGAACGGGGTGTATAATCGGAGACTGCCAAATATACTGAAGCCATTAGATGTGACACAATCTCACAATGGTTTAAATCGGCACAAAGTGGGCTCTAAATGCAGCTTATTCACTGTTTCCTACAATGCACATAGCTCTGGTATGGCACAGGATTAACTGAACTGACAGTGCCCCCGTTGTTCTCATTACTATAGATCATAGCCATTGAAGATGGGCTGGGACTAGGTATTCTTAGTGTGGGTAGTTGCACTGAGTTGATTTGGATGCACTTTTGTTGTTTTTTAGATGACTTTGCAAGTTCTTCCTTTACCCTATTTGACCATCCAAAACAAACCCATGCAGCATTGGTGAGTGTTTGAGTCCAAGTTGACCAGTAGTAATATAGTTGTACTTAGTCACAAAGAATAAATCACAAATTAGTCACAGACCAAGCCTAAACTGTACAGATTGGTGGCAGGATCAAGGTCAATCTTCAGTTTGGAGGACACTGAGATTGGAGAACCCCCACAGCACATATAATGACAAAGTGAAGAAAACAGCTGTAAGGATTTGGTACAAACAAATAGCTATTTACATCTTACATTAGTCAAAACTACATGTATGCAATAATTAAAGAATTTAATAGGCAAATTATTGAATAATGGCAAGTTTCATTTCTTTAGTTAAAAGTAAGGTGACTACCAACAAATAATCCACATTGCAATCCTATAGTATTCCTATGGATTCACTCATCACAATTCTCTCATCTTCCAAGAGAATCTCCCACCTCAATCATTTATCTTCCCAGAGAATTGTCCATCAGAAATCTGTTCTTCTATCATGGAAAATTCACTAGAATTGAGGAGGTGTTGTAGCAACGTTGATTTAACAAGGAGTTATTACTATAATAAGGAGAGATGATATCTAGACGGCCCCTCAATAGTGGCCACGTGTTAAATTTAAAAACAAAAAGGCGGGCAGGGCAATCCCATTGTTGGGAGTGTACTATAGACCCCCTAAACAGTTAGGGAGAAATAGAAGGGCAGATATGTTGGTATATTTCAGACAACTGTAAAAATAATCAGTTAGCAATAAGTACAAGATTTCAGCTTCCCCAGTATTAGCTGGGATTGACGTGTAAAAGGCTTAGAATAGGTACAGCCCTTAAAATGTATCCAGGAGAACTTATTCAGCCAGCATGTAGAAACTCCAATAAGAGTCAGAGCAGTGCTGGATATAATTTTGAAACATGAAGCCAGACAAGTAGCAGAAATGTTGATGGGAGAGCATTTCAGGAATAGTGACCACAACTCAGTAATGCTTAAGTTAGTAATGGAGAAGGACAAAGATAAATCAGAAATAAAGGTTTTGAGGAAGGCCATTTTATAATGATAAAACAGGATCTGACCAAGATGGAGTTGGAGCAGCTATGTCACGGAAGATTTACATTGGAACAATGGGAGTCTTTCAAAAAGGATATAATGAAAGTGTAAGGCCAACACATTCCTAAGAAGGTGAAGAGTGAGACCAGAAAATTCCAAAGAACCCTGAATATTGACCAATGTACAGGATTGATATGGGGGGAGAAGAGAAAGCATATGGTAAATACCGAGGGCTCAGAATACCAGAAGCCCTAGAGGTGTATAGAAGGTGTGGAGGTTACTTAAAAATGAAATTAGGAAAACAGAGAAGGGGGAACATGAAAAAGAATGGATGGTTAATTGAAAGAAAATCCAAAGGCATTTTATAAATATATAATGGCAAGAGGATAACCAGGAAAAGAGTAGGACCAGTTAGAGTCCTACATGGCAAACTGTGGGTGGAGCCAGAAGATATAGGTGAGATTTTAAATGAGTACTTTAAACTGTATTCACAATAGAGAAGAATAATATAAGTATAGAATTCAGGGAAGAGGACTGTAATATATTTGAACAAAGATGTGCAGGTTAGGTGGATTGGCCATGCTAAATTGCTCATAGTGTCCAGGGATGTATAGGTTGTGTGAATTAGCCATGGGAAATGCAAGATTACAGGGATAGGGTAGGAGGGTGGGTCTGGGTGAGATGCTGTTCAGAGGGTCAGTGTGGACTCGAAGAGCTGAATGCCCTGCTTCCACACTGTAGAAATTCTATGATTCTATAAATTACAATTGGAGAGAGGAGTTATTAAAATTGGATAAGTCCCCAGGTCGAGATCAAATGTACTGTAGGCTGTTGTGGGAGACAAGGGAGTAGATTTCTGAGGCCTTGACATCAATTTTCCAATCCTCTCTGGACGCAGCAACCCGGTAAAGGACTGGGGAACAATGAATGTGGCACCATTATTCAAGAACAGTGGTAGGGCTGAACTAGAAAGCTGTAGAACAGTGAGAGAAAATCTATTGGCAAAGAATCTGAGGGACAAAATTAATTTCACTTGGAGATGCAAGGATGAATCAACGATGTTCAACTTGGCTTTGTCAGGGTGAGATCCTGTCTGACAGGTTTGATTGAGTTTTTTGAGGAGGTGACTAGATGTGTGAATAAGGGTAATGCAGTGGATGTAGTCTACATGAAGTTTTGACAAGGTCTAGCATGGGAAATTGGTCAAGAAGGTTAAAGCCTACAGGATCCAGGGCAATTGGCAAATTGAATCCAAAATTGTCTTCGTGGCAGGAGGCAGAGGCTGATGGTTGAAGGTTGGTTTTGACTGGAAGACCATGACCATTGGTGTACTGCAGGATTCAGCTGTCTCCTTTGCTATTTTTTAGTGATCTAGACATGAATCTGGAGGTTTGATCAGCGAGTTAATTGATGACATGAAAATTGATTGTGTTATAGATAGGATGAAAGCCTTAGACATCAGGATGATTAGAGAGACTGGCCAGATGGGCTGAATAGTGACAAGTGGAATTAAACTTGAGAATTGTAATATGATGCATTTTGGGAGGAAGGGAATACATGATAAATGGTAGCATCCTAGGAAGTACAAAGGATCAGAGGTGCTCTAGTGGGCATGTCCACAGATCCTTGAAGTCAACAGAACATGTGGATATGTGATTAAGATGGCACATTAGATACTTACCTTTATTATTTAAATGAATATAAGAGCAGTTATTATGATAGGGCAATATAAAATGTTAGTTAGGCCACAGTTGAAGAACTGTGTGCAGTTCTGGTTCCCCTAATCTAGGAAGGATGTGTTTGCACCAGAGAGGGTGGAAAAAAACGTTCACCAAGATGTTAACCGGTTTGGAGTATTTCAGCAATGATGAGAGACTGGATAGGCTGGACCTGATTTTCTTGGAGCAGAGAAAGCTGAGGAGGGCGTCACTGAGGTGTACAAAATTACGGGGGACATAGATAGAGTAGATAGGAAGCAACTTTTCCCCTTAGTAGGGCTATCATTGAGCAAGAGGATTATGCCTATCCAGAAATCACTGCTTGAAAGGGTGGTAGAGGCAGGAACCATCATCACATTTAACAAATATTTAGGGGACCGCTTGAAGCGCCTAAGCGTTCAAGGCTGTGGTCCGAGTGCTGGGAAATGGGATGAGAGTAGATAGGTGCGTGATGACCAGCACTGACAGAATGGGCTGAAGGGCCTCTTTCTGTGTTGTGAAACTGTATGATTCTATGACTTTGTTTATAATTGTGATTCTTGGTCTTTTTCAGTTATTTAACTATGCTGGAGGATCACTGACTGCAAGTGACAAATTTTCTCCTGATCGAAAACGATATACAATCCCCAGCATTCATATCGAGAAACCCTGGAGCCACTATAAGCCTTTGATTACTAAGGCCTCAAAGGATTGGTCTCAGTTTGTCTCGGAGTGTGGGGAATTTGTGCTTCCCAAAAGGGACTTCAAAGGTGAGAGATTTAGAGAATATGATTGCTGCAATGACGCTCATTGTTTTGCAAATTTTGAAAACTGGCACTGTGTTTACATTTTACTGTCATCATCATAAAACAAATACTAAGAAGCTCAAAACCCTTTCTTGGTACTTTCATTGTGCCAGTTTAATTGAGCTACATATTGTGATTCAAAATTGTTACCAGTTTAAAACCATCATCACATTTTAATTCTTTTTAACTGGTTGACTGTTAAAGGAATTTTATTATTTTACTGTAAGTCAGAAAAGTAAGCATCCCAACACCGATCCCTGGGGAACCCCACTTTCAACTTGTCTCCAGTCTGAGAAATGTCCATCAATACCTACCTGCTGTTTTCTATCTTTTAGCCAATTTCTAATCAATGCTGCCAAACACCCATCAATCCCAAACATTTCTAATTCGCTAACCAACCTGCCATGTGGCACTGTAGCAAAATGCTTTCTGAAAGTCCAAATATACACTACCCACAGCACTAACCTCATTCACTGTTTGTCTCACCTTGTCAAAGAGCTCAATTAAATTTGTCAGATATGACCTGCTCTTGACCAATCCATATTGACTGTCTAGTATTAACTTATTTTTCTCTTAAGTGTATATTTATCTTATCCTGCGTTATCTCTTCCATCAGTTTTCCCACTGTTGATGTCACGCTGAAAGCAGTTTCTGAGGTTATCTTTTATTGCTTTCTTAAACAACAACACCACATTTATAATCCTCCAGTCCCCTGGGACTAATCCTGCATTCAGAGAGGCCTGGAAATTTTCTGTTAACAGCTCCGTAATTTGCTCCCTTATCTCTTTCAGCAATCTAGGATGCATCCCATCCAGGCCTGGCGACTACTGTATCTGGAGTAATGCCAGTCTTTTTAACAACTTTTTTTTGTCTATCACTATGATGTGGAGTTGCCTAACACCCACATTTTCAACTGGGCCATCATCACCATTTTCTAATTTGGTAAAGACAGAAGCAGAGTATTCATTTAGTACCACTGCCATACCTTTTGCTTCAGTGACCAGCTTACCTGCTTGTTCCTATGGGCCCCATTCTATCTTTCACTAATCTTTTACTATTAATATGTTTGAAGAACATTTTACTATTTGTTTTAATGCAGCCTGCCATCCTTTCTTCATACTTCCTTATTCCAGCTTGATCCGTTCTCCTGCATTCGAGATACTCTTCAAGATTTCTATTGCTATTATTATTTTTTGTGCATCATACGCCTTTTTTTCTTTCTTACTTTCTCATCAATATCCTAGTCATCTGGGGTACTCCAACTTTGGATACCCTATATTTATTTCTCATGCGTATGTATCTAGCTTGCAAGCTATTCATCACTCTTGAAAAATTCTCCCATTCTTCATCCACTGTTTTATCTACTAAAATGCATTTCTAATCAACGTAGTCCAGTTCAACTTTTAGGTTCCTAAAATCTACCCTTTTCCATTCTAGCATCGTAATCATTTGTAATATTTGGTGTTTCAGTCCCCTACAGTGGAGTCATAGAGTCAGACAGCACAGAAACAGACCCTTGAGCCGGCCCAGTTTTCTAAACTGAACTATCCCATTTGCCAGCATTTGGCCCATATCCCTCTAAACCCTTCCTATTCATTTACCTATCCAGATGCATTTTAAATGTTGTAAGTGTACCTGCCTCCACCACTTCCTCTGGCAGCTTGTTCCACATACGCACCACCCTCTGTGTGAGAAAGTCTTTTTTTGAATCTTTCCCCTCTCACCTTAAACCTATGCCCTCTAGTTTTGGACTCCCCATGCAAGGAAAAAGACCTTGGCTCTTCACCTTATCTATGCCCCTCATGATTTTATGAACCTCTGTAAGGTCACCCCTCAGCCTCCAATGCTCCAGGGAGAAAATCCCCAGCTAATTCAACCTATCGCTATAGCTCAAACCCTCTAGTCCTGGCAGCATCCTTGTAAATCTTTTCTGCACCCTCTCAAGTTTAACAACATCCTTCAGATCTAGTAAAGATGGCAGGTTTAAGAACATTAGTGAACCTGATAGGTTTTTAATGGTAATTAATAGTAGTTTCAGGGTAGCATTACTGACTAGCTTTCAGTTCTAGCTTTACTAATTGAATTCAAATTCTACTAGCTACTGAGGTAGGATTGGGACCCATGTTCCTAGAGCATTTGGCTGGGCTTCTGGATTACTAATCTCGTTACATTATAGTTATGCCACCACTTTCCCTGAGTTATGTCATACCTTAGTTCAGTACAATAAAGTGTATTGTACATTTTGGGTGTGTCCACTGACTTTTTTTTTGCTGTTCCTTTCAGATATACACTTCTCTGGTTATGCAGTCAGATATTTGAAACCCAACATTACCCAGTCCTGGAAGGTAGATTCAAAATTTAATTTCTCCCCATTGTTCTACTGTTATATAACTCCCCTGTTAGAGTTTTAACATAACCACAATGTGTTGCTTTTCAGTATCACCTTCATTCAGAGCCATCGGTTTCCAAATATGATCAGAAGCCTATTCCATACGAAACTTGGTAAGTCTAAATAAAGATTGTTCCATCAAATTCCTGTCTAGGTTTAACTATTTACTTACATTGTTTTTTTTCCCCCATTTTCAACAGGAATCGATATAGAAGGTTATCCAGTCCATTCAGGTACTTGTGTTTGACTTTGTAGTACAGTATTCTTAGATATTGGTATTTCCTCTAATTTGTAAAAATTGGTTTATGCTTACTCAGGTCTAAATTGGATCTATCAATCAGGACTTACATGTAATATTCATAGCTTCATCTTACCCTCACCCAACTAGCACTGATTCCAGTCCCAAAACAGCTTATCGCTTTCACACAAAGCTAGTTTTTCTTCCATGACAGCCACATCACTTAAATAGATTGTATCACATTCACTGACATATTTCCTTGTTCCTTCTGGGACAAGATTCTAAACAACTGGAGGCAGCAGGAGTTAATGAGAGGGGCACAGGTGTTCCCAAATAGGAGACAGTACTGGTCATTTTTGGAACACGCACCATTGAAATTGGTCACTGGTGGCCTGAAACCATCAAAGATAAATCCCATTCTTTTCACTTCCTACTTCACCCTGTTTAAGTATGAAAGTCTTGCTTTATTTTCATCCCTACAGTTCTACCCTTCTCTCTTTTTTCTTTGAGATATCCAAATGGTGCACCTTGACCCAGCAGTGGAGGAACACCATGAAGGGTCAATGGTAGAGACACAGCACCATGATGACACTTTTCACACTTCCAGCCAGAAACACAGTTACTGACAATGCATGTATCATTAAGGATGGATTACAGGCAGGATGTGCACATGGTGAGAGATTGGGGAAAACTACCCCATAACCAGGGCTTCGACCCAAGATTGTGCAGGTGTCTGCTTGCTAGCCATTGAGGTAGGACACAAGTTGCACTGCAAAGGACTCTGATAGCAAAAACCAGGATAGCAATGGGCCTTCTAAATATTTATTGCAAAGTTTATTTAGATGTGTGGGCCCTTTAAATTTGCCTAATGACTGCGCAGTTTGGAAGGAATGTTGCTGAACACTTATGAACAAATAAGTGCATTGGGAAGCCAATCGGAAAACCTGCTTTTAATCAAGCAGCCTGAGATGTTCAGCACTAACTTAAATATGGACGTTCAAACTAGGCACAGAGCTGTTCGGGCCCCTTAAATCTACTTCATCTTTGACTAAGACCGTGGCTGATCTGATTGCTGCACAGCCTTGCCCTATCCTGATAACCTTTCAACTGCTTGCTTATCAAGAATCTGAGGAAGGGAATTCCAAAGACTCATAAGCTTGTGAGGGGAAAAAAGCCCATGTATTTAAATAGGTGACAGGTAGCTCTAGATTCTCCCTCAAGAGGAAATATCATTTCCACAACCACCCTATCATTATCCCTCAGAATCAAATATCTTTCAATTAAGTTATCTCTCCAATCAGTGGGTGCAAGTCTAGCTGGTCCAACCTTTCCTCATAAGGAAACCCACCCCATTTTTTTTTATTCACCCATGGGATGTGTGTGTTCCTGGCTGGCCAGCATTTATTGCATGTCCATAGTTGCCCTTAGGAAGGTGGTGGTTAGCTGCCTCCTTGAACTGCTGTAATCCATCTGTTGAGGGACCCATAATGCCATTCAGGAAAGAATTCCAGGATTTTGACCCAGCGACAGTGAAGTTATGTTGATATATTTCCAAATCAGGCTGGTGAGTGGCTTGGAGGGGAACTCGCAGGTGGCAGTGTTTCCATGTATCTGCTGTCCTTGTTATTCTTAATGGAAGTTGCCATGGGGTTGGAAGCTGCTGTCTCAGGATTTGTTGAATTTCTGCAGTGAAACTTGTAGATAGTGCACACTGCTGCAACTGATCATCAGTGGTGGAGGGACTGAATGTTTGTGGATGTGGTGCTAATCAATCAGCTGCTTTGTCCTGGATGGTGTCAAACTTCTTGAGTGTGGTTGGAGCTGCACTCATCCAGGCAAGTGGGGCGTATTCCACCACACTCTTGGTGGACAGGCTTTTAGGAATCAAGAGGTGAGTTATTTGCCGCAGTATTCCTAGCCTCTGACTACCTCTTACAGCCACTGAATTTATATTGAGTTTCTGGTCAATGGTAACCTCCTGAGGTTAGATTCAGGAGGCTGATTGGCCCTGGCGGAACCCAAACTGCGTGTCAGTGAGCAGGTTATTGCTGAGCAGGTGCTGCTTGATAGCACTGTTGATGACACCTTCTATCACTTTACTGTTGATTGAAAATAGACTGACGGGACAGTAATTGGCCGGTTTGGATTTGTCCTGCTTTTTATGTACAGGACATACCTGGCAATTTTCCATATTGTCGGATAGATCCCAGTGTTGTACTTGTACTGGAGCAGCTTGGTTAGGGGTGCAGCACGTTCTGGAGCACAAGTCTTAGTACTATGGAATGTTGTCAGGGCCTGTAGCCTTTGCAGTGTCTAGTGCCTCCAACCATTTTTTGATATCATGTGGAGTGAATTGAATTGGCTGAAGACTGGCATCTGGCGACCATTGAAGAAGACTGAGATGATCCATCCATATGGCACTTCTGGCTGAAGATTGCTGCAAGTGTTTCAGCCTTATCTTCAGCCTTATCCAAGTATTAGTCTAGTCATCTTTCTCTGAAGTGCTTCCAATGCATGTACGTCTTTCTTCAAATAAGGAAGCCAATACTGTACACAGTTCTCTAGAGATGATCCTACTGATACCCTATGTAACTGAAGCCTAGCTTCCCTACTCGGCATTCAGTTTCCCTCACAATAAATATTAATATTCCATTAGCTTTCTTAGCTACTTCTGTAGTTGTGTACTAACCTTATGAGCTTTATGCACTAGATCTGCCTGATTCTGTGCACCTCAGAGCTCTGTGGTCTCCCACCATTTTTATAATCTTCTACACTAAAAGAGTGGTAGATGTTTTGAGCTCTCTTTCACAAGTGTTAGTGGATGCTGGATCAATTGTTAATTTTAAATGTGAGATAATACATTTTTGTTAAACAGAACTATTAAGGGATATGGGCCAAAGGCAGGTATATGAAGTTAGGCCACAGAGCAGCCATGATCTCATTGAATGGTGGAACAGCCTCAAGGACCGAATGGCCCATTCCTAATCCTGTGTTCCTAATATTCTGTTTATGTTCTTCCTGCCAGAGTGGACAGTTCACAATTTTCCCATATTATACTCTGTTTGCCAGAATTTTATTAACAATAATCGTAATAACAAACTTTGAATATTTTCCCAATGACAGACGTTAAGCTAACTGCCCTGTGATTTTCTGTTTCTCTCTATTTTTTTAATAAATATCTTATATTCACTATTTTCATTCTAATAGAACCCTCCCCACATCTATAGAATTTTGGAAAATTAAAGCCAATGCATCAACTATCTCACTAGCTATGTCTTTGAAAACCCATAAATGAAATCCATCAGAACCTAGGAACTTGTCAGCACATAGCTCCAATATTTGCTCAGTACCACTTCCCTGATAATCGTCATTTTCTTAAATTCCTCCCTCCCTCCCATTTCCTGATTTACAGCTAATTCTAAGATGTTACTTGTATCCTCTATGGTGAAGACCAGTGCAAAATAGCTATTGAAATCATCTGTCATCGTCTCATTTTCTGTTATTAATTCCCTAAACTCACTTTCTATAGGATGAGTGATCACTTTGATAACTCTTTTCCTTTTTATATATTGATAGAAACTCTCACGATCTCTTTTATATTTCTAGCTTGCTTTCTCTTGTTATCTATTTTCTTCCCTCTTCATCCTTTCATGTTTTTATATTCTGTCTAGTCTTCTGACTTGCCACCATCTTTACACAATTATATGCTTTCTCTTCAAGTTGATTATTTTCATTCTTGTTGGAATGTACTATTCTGCGTATTCTGAAATATCCCCTAAAATATCTGCCACTGCACCTCTGTTGACCTATCCCTAACCCAATTTGCAAGTTCACTGAAGTTAGCTGCACTTTAATAGAACCAATTTCTCTGTCATCTTTCTTTGAGCCATATATTCATTTCTCTAATTTTATTTGTTTTATGCCAATTTGCTCATAGCTCATTTCTGGATTATTATCTTTGAGGTTCTGCTTTTTAATTTAGTGCCTATCTCCTCAGACTGCCTGTGCATAAGCCTTTTTCTTGTCTGGGCTGTGTCGTTGGTACCTAAATGGACCGCAGCAACTGAATCTTTCTGCTCCCACTACATCTTCCCTCCAGTCCTGAGCAGAGGTTCCGTATCCTGACAAAACACCCTCCTGTCCCTCACCACTGACCAAATTGGAAGACACTCTCCTCAGGGTTGTGGGCACCTCCTGGAATAAAGTTTTCAGAATAAGTTTCTCCCTTCCTGATGCATCAGTGACTGCAGCTCCACCTCTAACTCATAAACTCTGAGCCAAGTTCATTGGGCTACTAATGCCTTGCATCTAGAAGCTCACATATCCTATATTTGCAGCACATCACCTTCTCCGTTCATCCTTATTGTGTCTCAATTAATTTATTTCTATGAATTACTTTATAATTAATAAACTCCGCCACTTCCATAAGATTACCATTCAGAAATTTTCCAAATGCTAATGTAACTTCTGGTAATTGTTTTTGATGGGCTTTAAAAGATAAGGGAAGTGAGCAAAATACTTACCAAGCAATTGTTTACTTGTTTTCCTGTAATGTTTATTTTTATCTGAATGCATTTTGAGGATCGGCGAGGATCACTAGTTGTTTGTGCCTTCCCATGCAGCTTTTCAATTCCTACCCTTCTGGAGGCTGAAAAATTTAGAAAAATAAAGGTGCACTTCCCTCCCTATCTTACCAAAATCCCTAATTCATCACATTCACTGTTTTATAGTCTGTCACCCAGTAAAAGGTAAAGTCACCACTGTCCCAGAGGACCATAGGGCCGCTCTCACATTATAAAGAGACAATTACTGCTGGTTTAACCTAAGGATCATCATGCCTAAGGTGAGATTAACCATGTTTTGATTTTCTTGGTGGCTCAAATACAGTGGGCGCAAGGGACCCTCTCAGAATGAAGATATAATGATTGTAGCCAGGATTCTGGGCATTGATCTATAAGGCTTGCTGTCTAAATTCATACACCAGCTGGCCATTGGAAGGTAACCTGTGTCAACGATACTGAGAAGGATTGGACAAATATTATAACACCATCACTAATCCTCATCTGTCTAGAAAGAATGACTATCATCCAGGTATAGTTACTTCTGGGAAGCCGGAATAGCTTTGTCTGGCTGCACTGTATGGCAGGATCTCTGACAGGAGCTTGCTCCCTGATTTAACCAAAGTCCAACTGAGATCTGCTGCCCTGTGCCATGGTGTGCAAATGAGACTTAAAATATATTACACAAATTTGTGAACTTAGCCATTAGTGTGCCCTGTTGAATCACTATCATGTTTCTGTACAGTACTAAGGCAAGATTTTTCTATCTAGTAAACAAAAAATGGCAATTTAAAAAAAAATGCTTCTCCGAGATTGCAATGTTTGTTGATTTTCTTATTCCAATGCCTAATCTGTTTGTTTGTAATCAACGACTCCTTCAACTGTCAACTCCGGTTTAATCGTCGCAGTCTTGCCTCCAAACACAAAGTTCAGAAACTTGAGCAATAGGCTAGTTTGGCACTTCAGTGCAGTACTGAGGAAATGTTATCGTGTTTGAGGCATCATCTTTTCAAGAATACAGTAAACCATGAGCAACTTATCCTGGAAGTAATCTGCTTTTGATATCTATAACCTGCACGCTCTACCATAGTGGCATCACAGCCAAATATAATCCCATCATCACTGATATCCACACAAGTGAATGGGAGAACGACATTGGATTGCAATCAGTCATGAAAACCCTAATGGATCATTTTTCCTCCTTAGCTCTTAGTAACATGTTTATCTGAACTACAGCTGCCACGGAATAGCAGTTATCAGTCCTCTGATATTTTGGATTTTGTGAACATACAAATATACAGAATAGGAGTAGAGATATATTATTCAGTCCCTGAAGCCTCCTGCACCATTTAATGTGATCATGGCTGACCTGCTTGTGTTTTAAGTTCCACATTCTCATTTACCTCCGATCGTTGTTTATTATCCAGTCTACCAAAAAACTGTCTACTTCTGTCTTAAAAATCTAAGTGATCTCGCCTCCATCGCTTTCTGAAACAAAGAGTTCCAAAGTCTCAAAATCTTTTTAGTGAAAAGAAATATTAGAGAATATTCAATACTCTGTCCTGAAAGGGCAATTCCTAATTTTAAAGCACAAGAGAAAACATCCTTCCCACATCTATCTTGTCAACACCATTCAGGATTTTGCAAACTTAAATCAAGTCAAACCTCACTCTTCTAAACCTAACGGAAAAATAGGCTCATTCCAGGTACCAATCCAGTAAACCAACTCTGAACCAATTTAATGCATTTAAATCGTTCTTAAAATGAAACTACAACTGCACATAATATTCATGATGTGGTCTTACCAATGACCTGCAACTGAAGCATAACATCCTTTTATGTTCAACTCCTCTTGTTATTAAGAATATGGGCCAATGATTATGTGCATACCAGCATATTAACTTTTTTGTGATTCATGCACCAAAACAAGTAAATACTTCTGCATCTCAGGATTCTGCAGTTGTCTCCATTTAGGAAATACTCTTTTTTTTCCATTCTTCCTGCCATTTTCTCATATTATACTTCATCTGCCAGATATTTGCCCTCTCACTCAACATACTCAATCCGTCTGCAACATTTTTATGTATTCTTCACATCACACTTTCTTACGATCTTGGAGTCTTCTGCAAATTTAAATATGATGCCTTCACTTGCCTCTTCTAAGCCATTTATATAAATAGTAAAAAGTTGAAGCTCCAGCACAGACCCCTGTGGTACTCCACTGATCACATTCTTCCAAATAAAGACCCAGTTATGCATACTCTCTGTTTTCTGCAAGCCAGCCAATCTTCTATCCATGCTAATATGTTATCCCTATATCATGAGATTTTATTTTCCATAATGACTTTTGATGTAGCACCTTATCAAATGCTTTCTAGATATCCAAATCTATTGTGTCTGCAGACTCCCCTTTATATTAGTTATATGTGATTTCCCTTTGACCATATCATTCTCCTCTTGCCAATTACCTCATATTTTTCTTAATGTGCAGCTACAGTCTCTTTAATTATTGATTCTAACAGCTTCCTCTGATAGACATCAACTAACTGGCCTATAATTTCCTACTTTCTGCCTTTCTTATTATTTTCTAGTTCAATGGAACCTTTCCAGAATCTATAAAACTTTGCAAAAATAATACCAACTCATCCACTACTTCATTAGCAATCTCTTTTAAGCCCGTAGAATGAAATTCATCTGGGCTTGCACTTGTCAGATTGCAGCTCCGTCAATTTTCTCAGTATCATTTCCCTCATGATTATAATTTTACTAAGTTCCTCTCTCCCTTCCACATCCTGATTTATAGCTATTGCTCAAGTGATGTTTGTAAATTTTATAGTGAAGACAGAAGCAAAATATGTGTGGGTAAGATCTACACCAGTTACTATGAGTACGTTTTAGTATTATAGTATTTAGTATAGGTAGTGAGCTAATTCATCCTATGGAACCTTTGTCTCTGATTCACCCAAGATTCAGAATTGCCTTTAATAATACATTATGTTTTATAGCCGTACTTCCTTCCAGCGACCTTGGTACTAGAGCACATCGTGGGTTCAGAAGCTATGAGCAGAAGTTATCATCGTGGAATCTGTTACCACATTTGCTGCAGGATCAGGAGCTGATAAAATAATTTCATATAAGTAAACAGTTTTCAACCAATAGTAAGAGCATATTTTACTTTTCAATGAGTAAACTATAGTGGAAGTGAGCTGGTGCTGGTGCTTTTCTTTATTGATCATGTATTCCTGTCACTTGCTGATTCACCGCTACTGCACACAGTGATACAATGTGCACCTTATATCAGATACAGATCACTAGACTGATTTGCACAGCAACCATTGCACTACTGAACATCATCAACAACACGTTCTTATTCTATCACAGTATTTGAGAGTCTTGAGCCAGGCCAGTAATATTGTCAATCAGTGATTGTCCTTAGCTACCTTGCAAGCCAGTGAGTTCAAGAGTCAACTGAGTTGCTGTGGATTTGGAGTCACATTTAGGCATGACTAGGTAACTGTAGCAGATTTTCTTCCCCAAAGGACATTAGTGAACCAGATTGATTTTTACAACAATTGACATGATCGCTATTACTGAGACTAGCTTTCAATTTCAGATTTTACAAATTGATTTTAAAACTCATCAGCTTGATGAGATTGAATCTATGTCCCCTGAATGTTAGCCTGGGCCTCTGGATTACTTGTCCAGTGCCATTTCCACTAAATCAGCATCTCCCTAGTTTTAAATGTAATGGTCTCTGAACAGAAAGGAATAAAAATCTTTTGACAGTTGTGGAACTCACATCAAGGAATAGTAGCTGATGTCGTTACACAGGAGGCCATTTGGCCCCATGGGTCAGTGCTAAATCTCTGCAAGGACAACTCAGTAAATCCCTAAATTTACCCAGCTTCAAAATCTCCCCACCCCCGACCTCATCCCAAGACCAGCCCCCCTCTTATCCCTGCCTCATTGACCTGTCCGTCTTCTCTCCGACCTATCCGATCCTCCTACCTCACTGACCAATCCCCACCACTGCCTACCTCACTCACCTTTACTAGCTTCATCCCCGCCTCCTTGACCTGTCCATCTTCTCTCCCACCTATCCGCTCCACTATCTACTGCTATCACTGCCGCCCCACCTCTATTTATTTCAGAGCCGCCTTCCCTTCTCCCATTTCTGAAGAAGGGTCCCGACCCGAAACGTCAGCTTTCCTGCTCCTCTGATGCTGCCTGGCCTGGTGTGTTCCTCCAGCTCCACACTGTGCTATCTCAGTAAATCCCATACCCCTTCCTTTACCACAAATTATTCTCTTCGGAAAATTATCCAATTCCCCGAGAAAACAAAGACTGAGTCTGCCTCCGCCACACTCTTAGGCTCCATAAAGTGTTTTTGCTCATACCACCTATGGTTCTATTGCCAGTCATCTTAAATCAGTCTCTTTTGGTTCTCAACTATTCTATTTCTCCCTATCCACTCTGTCAAACTATTTTATGATTTTGAATGCCTTTTTCAAATCTCGGTTACTCAATGTTAAGTTAGATAGGTGGTTGAGACAGTCAGTGAAACAATTTTTGAGGTAGGTAGATTTGGTTATAATGATTTGCATGTGCAAAATGTAAACACTGACATTGGTTGGACTAAATGAACTTTTCCATTTTGTAAATTTTATGTTTTTTTCTTATGGAAATGGCTAATTGTCTTAGCAGATTGTCTTAGGACAGGTGACTTACTTATTAAGCCAGACTTCTGAATGCAGTCACCTGGGAGTGGGATCGGAAGCCTGCAGGTCAGGTGGACGCGTGGGGGAAATCAGAGACTGGAAGAAGAGGTTGGTGCTTCACTGGGAGAGTCAGGAGAGAGAGGGGGTCTGACCACAGGTTGCCTAACCTAGCACATGGAATTTAACAGATAAATGAAGTGGTACTTTCTTCTTGGACCTGACGGTCCTCATCTGTGTTTAGCTACCAGATTCTCTTTGCCATTATAAATCTTATGTAAATTCAAAATAGTAAATGGAAATAAGGCTCACAGTCTTATTATAATATTTAAAATGCCAACCCATCACCTTTATTACACCCTCCACCCCTAACTTCCAGAAACAGATTGGATACTCCCCCTCCTGTCTTATCCATTAAAACTGGAAGTGGGAAAACTGATGTTGGAATTCAGATTGTTAACTCTTTAAACTCCTACCCTGTGTCTCTATTTTACTGTTCCAGTAATAAAGGCAGTAGTGAGACAGTGTATTTAACGAGTGCATCACTGGTCTACTAGATGAGAAACTTAAATTATTTTAGTGACTATGAAAACAAATATATGTGTCTAGCTTTAAAATTGTCTGACTTAAAACGTTTCAACCGACTTAAGCCTTGTCTCACATGATCGGAATCACGATCAACCATAAACATAACTGGAATCCAGCACCTTCAAATTCACTCCCTCCACCACTGGTGTACTGTGGCAGCATTGTATACCATTTTTGAGTGCAGTGCTGTAACTTGCCAAGGGTTCTTTCACAGTACCTCCTAAATGTGTATAAGCTACCATCACCTAGAAGGATAAGGACAGCTGTTACATGGAAATTGCACACTTCCAAGTTTCCCTCCAAGTTGCATCATTCTGTCTTGGAAGTATATTGCTATTCTCTCAATATTATTGGTTCAAAAGCTTGGAACAACAAAGGCTTGAACTGACACAAAATGGTTGCTGCCATCCATGGAATACCTAGCGCAATGATCAGTAGAGGGAAATAATATGGAAAGCTGGTTTATCAGTAAAGTTGTATGATCTTTAATACAAATCAGTAAGAAGAACGAATTAATCTGCGACATCACAAGACTTGGGATGATAAAGGATGCTGTGCATATGCTATGTCCAGATTGTAGAAAACATATTCTTTAATTGCAACACAAGCACATAATGAGAAAATAGCTCACCATCATAATAGTTTTTCACTTTAATATTAGATCTAATTTTTAAATGTTTTAAATGAATGGAATTCAACAAGTTATGATTATTCATATAATAACTGTTATTGATCAGTAGTTGTTCTATGCTGCTAGATGTTAAATGTTGACATGCATAGACGAGAGTACCAGTAGTTACATCAATCTCATTTTGCTCTACTATCAGAATGACCTGAGTTACTTGTTACATATTGTGGTTACACTGCATACTACATTCAAACGCACAGTATTGAAGCAATATTTGTATTGAATTATTTCAGACTACATCTAGTCCAGTCTTAACTGAGATGTTTCAAACATTAAGTATCCATATGATTTGCTGCAATCCTTATTAATTATATTCAAACATGTAAATTACTGCGAAGAACCATACAGGTGTGCCTTGTTGAAATGTTGTCAAACTGAAACATTACCTGTTTCTAATTCCATAGATGCTGCTTCACCTGCATTTCTGTCATTTCAAGCAATACTGTCACGTATTGTCTCTAAATATATCTTTTTGTATTTAGCTTCCTCCTATTAGCTGGACCTGAATAGGTTCCCTTTATTGCTTGATTATTAGAACTTCTGGTCAGAGGTTATTCAAATGTTAAACTGTAACTAATAACATAAGCATCACTGTATACATACAACTTCTTATCCTGTGGGTTGTAGTTCATGTACTGAATGCCAGGCAAAACTTTTCGGAATTGGATTTTCAAATCATATCGCTCGACTCCGCTGGTAGTGTCAAACATATAAAAGATTTCTTCTATTTCAGGACTTACATATCTGGTTGCATATACAACCCCACACACCAAAAAGGCATTGGATGCTGATCGTTTGAATAAGGTGGTGTTCCAACTTTCGAGTAGTGAGAGGTCAGTCGTATTGAGTCGACTGACAACCAAGTTTCCAAAATTGAATGTAGTAGAGTAGAGCACCCACAGCCCGTTTTCATCTGTTGCTAGATCCATGTCTGTGTACACATAACAGGAAGCAAGTGTACAGTATGGAAACTTGTCATTAAAACCAGCAAATGGCAGGGTGGCAGATATGACATTTTGTGTGGTCATGTCAAACCTGCAGAGTTTGTCTAAGTTATAGCAATTGTAATAGTAGGCATCTCCATACATTACCCCACCAGGGCCTTGAGGATTATAGGTTTGAAAACTTATATCCTTAAAAGCACCTTTGGTGAGTAATTTCGAATAAGAGCTGTAAACACGAATCTTAGTTCCAAATCTATTACTACTGGTTAGAACTACAAGCCAGTGTTGATCCTCTTTCCCGGGAGCTGGCAGCGGATCTTTCCCCCAGGAACCATATGGATAGGATGTCCCAAAATGATTAAGCATTGAACTCCTGGGATAGGAGACTGCTTTTAATCTTCCGAAGGAACAGGACCCTGTGAGAAATCCCATAAACATTGAGAAAACAGCAATATGTAAAGCATAATAGCATACTCAAAACATGGTAAGAGCAAAAAATGCATTTGATACTTCCCTTTTGATGTGATCAACCCTTCATAATTTTAGATCTCCATCAGCACCCTTCACCTATTATTCTTCAAGAGAAAAGATCCTAGCTTGTTTAGTCTTTCCTGATATTTTCCTACACAGTCTTGGCATTTTCCTTGCAGAACTTCATTGGTCCTTTGATGTCCTTTTTGTAATATGGATCTGAACATGCACAGTTGAGTATTTCTAATCAAGGTTTCATACATATTTGACATAAATTATTACGTTTTAGTTATGTTCCACTATAAATTGTACTTTCCAATGATACTCTGACTACATTAGGTCCAAGTTTAGGACCAGGGACAAAATCAAAAATTGTTGATCATGTTATATATGTGGCTAGTCCAATTCAATTTCTAGTCAATGATAAGCCCGAGGATGTATGTAGTGGGGGAATTCGGTGATGGTAAGGCTATTAAATATCGAGGGACAAACAAAAGCAAAAATTATTGGAGAAACTCAGTAGGTCTGGCAGCACTGTGAAGAGAAAACAGTTAACATTTTGAGTCCAATGACCTAAGGCTGAGTTTCTGAAGCGACTTCGGTTTTTGTTCCAGATTTCGGCATCTACAGTTCTTTGTTTTATTTTAGGACCAGACACATAGGCAGGGCAGATGGCGTCACAGTGGCAAGTTCTATTTCCGGAAGGAATTTTTGTTGCTGCCAGGCTACAAATGTATAGCTGCTGTTCTTATAAAAATTGCAGTTCTGAACTCTCTTCCCTTTTGCACTGATGCTGTGTATTTCCAGTGCTTCTGCTTCTTTCTCCCCAAATTTATTGAATTCAATTTCCCAATTTGGCATTCTAGGATTAGAACTCAAAACCACTTGTTGGTTAATTCAGTGAAATAACTACTAGGATACTGTACCTGTGGGACTTTATACCTTGCCTGGCGAACCACTACCATTGTTTACTTGCTGTCTGACTTAAATTGTATTCTCTGTGCTTTAAATGCAGCATTGTGAGAGTAGGATAAAACCAAATGGAGTTAATAAAATAGGTGATTATGCAATTTGGAGAGAAGTAGCGTTTATAGTTGATCTGCAATTGCAAGCAGCTGAGATGGCAATACCATGAGACAAATGATGCGGTGCGAAGTCAGAGAAAACATTACAGGGCTACAATGTAAGAGCTGTAGAATGGGACTTATTACATTATTCTTTCAAAGAACTGGCAGAGGCATAATGGTCCAAATGGTCTCTTTTTATTACTGGATGATTATATAAAATATCAAAACATCTAGTAACAGCTTGGGCTTGTATTAACTAGTCACTGATTCCTGAGTATTATGTAAAGGCTAAATATGATCAATTCTGAAACTGATTCACTATTTTTTCTTCTGATCCATTTACCTTTAAACAACAGTGTTTCTTGGGTGCAAAAGCAAGAAGTAACAAAACTCAATGCAAATAGTGTTTCACAGCTGAAAGATTTCATATGTCCTGAACAGAAAACATCAGGGCAGATTCTTCTTCCTGTTGTGTGTTGACACTGATAAAAATGTTAGCTCTGCCTGTTTTACTCACCTGGCTGTGTAGTGACATATGGAGTTGGTGTTACTAACAGTGCATTCTGGCAAGAGGTTAGACTCCTTTTCAGGATGGTATTTTTTCTGTGCTCTTGAATGACTTTAAGTCGGTCATATTTCTCTAATTCATCTACTTTGTTGGTAATATTTTGTGCCTGTTGGATACAGAAAGGAATTATAATTAAATGGTGCCTTAGACCACCTCAGTTTGGTCACTGTTGGTATGTAAGAAACATGGTAGCCAATTTTGGCACTGGATAACTGAAATAATCAGATGTTACTAATGACACAGTCAGATCTTACTAACGCCTTGTCAAGTTTCTTCTGTAATTCATTGACCCATACTGACCGGAAAGATCTCAAGTAAAAACCGAGAGAATGGCAGATGCTGTAAATCAGAAACAAAAACAGAAATTGCGGGAAAAGCTCAGCAGGTCTGGGAGCATTTGTATGGAGAAATCAGAGTTAACATTTCGGGTCGAGTGACCCTTCCTCAGAAGAATACCAAGTTGGTTCTCAGTTTGGTATGAATTAGATTCCATTCAATCATGGGAGTTTCAAGTAGCTTCACACCCTCCAAGCCCTGTCACCACACACACACATGCACATTCATGCAAGCATACACACACGCACACACAGTACTCAACCAGTACTGTGCCCTGGTTACCTGTGTATCCAGATAAGTTCTCTCATCATTGTTCCTCCAGCACTTTTCTTGAAGTTGGTTGAGCAACTCATTCAGTTCAGCAATTTCAATCTCTATTATCCGATATGAAATTATACTATATAGTTCACCATCATATTCTTTTTCAAATTCATTAATGCGTTGCACAAGGTTGTTCAATTTCTGCTCTACATAGGCAGTAATTTCAAGAGGTTCATTGAACTGGAGGATAAATAGAAAGCATGATTCTTTGTTAAATAGAATTGGATATCAATTGCTTAACTGGTGACTCATTCTCGAGTATTATAAATGTGGTCTGTTCTGAAACTGAACTACCATTTTATCTTCCGATCCATTTACCTTTAAACAAATAGGGATTCTATGATCTATGAACTGTGTTTCTTGGGTGCAAAAACGAGAAGCAACAAAACTCAATGAAAGTAGTGTTTCACTGCTCAAAGATTTAATGTTTCCTGAACAGAAAACATCAGGACAGAATCTTCCTTGTGTTGTGTGGTGACAATCTTACAAGACAGGGTAAGAGAAATTTCTTAGGGTCTGTTAACCTGTGAAGTCAATGGTGCACACTTAAACACAATGGAGGCTGGCAATAAGTGCAGTACTGAAGAATGCTAACACTGAGTTCCTTATTTCAGATGTGACATTAAACTGGAGCTCATCTGCAATCTCAGGAAGATGAACACGGTATTTCTTCTGGTGCTCCAAACTAAATTTGTCTCTCAACCAAATTAAAACAGCTCATCTTGTATATTATTCACTGTTACATAAGTTCCTGCAGTTCAGAAAGTATTTCAATTGGCTGTAAAGCATTGTGAGATATTCCTGAGGTCACAAAAGGCATTCTCGAAATGGAAGAATATATTTATTTTAAAGCGCAAACTTTCAAGAAGGCATCAGATGTTTATTTAAACAGAAACAACGTTCATGTTATGGGGAAAAGGCAGGAGAATGGCCTGAGTCATAGTGCTCATTCAGACAGCTGGTGCAGACACAATGGCCTGAACGGCCTCTTTCTGCACCATTCCAAACTTGGGTGTGCCCAGAAGTTAAACAGGGATGTGTGCAATTTGCACTCCCTGACCTGCCACTTACTGCAGGCGAGCTGCAGACCTGCCTTTTGGCATAGTACCAATTAGTGTTGCTGCTGGAATTGGTCAAAAATCACACAACACCAGGTTATAGTCCAACAGGTTTACTCGAAGACAAGCTTTCGGAGTCTCACTCCTTCTTCAGGTGCTAGTTAGAGAGGTGGCATCAGGCACAGAATTTATAAGCAAAAGATCAAAGAGTCGTAGAACTGATGCAAATATGTTGAACAAACCTAAGAACAGGGCAGTGACTTGAAAGAAATTTTAGAATTTGAATATTAATTCTTTCTAACTGATTAAAGATTTAACAGCCATCTCAGGTTTGTTCAACGCATTCGCATCGGTTCTTATGACCCTTTGATCTTTTGCTTATAAATTGTGCGTCCGATGTCACTTCTCTCGCTGACACCTGAAGAAGGAGCGAGACTTCCAAAACTGATTCTTCAAATAAACCTGTTGGACTATAGGCTGGTGTCTGTGATTTTTGACCTTGTCCATCCCAGTCCAACACCGGCACCTCCACATCGCGGCAGGCGGTGGAGCAAAGGATGGAATGAGTGTTGAGGTTTTTGGGAGAGTGGACGCTACAGCCTTATGGCTGGAGTTTCTGGCAGACTGTCGTTGATTCCTGCCGCACCCTCCTCACCTGTTGTTTGTTCAGTTTGAGGCTGCAATTCTGAGAGATTAAGTATAATTGCTCGAGTTGCATGTGAGGGAATGGCCCATCAGACATCTGAAGGTCGCAGTAGCATCTCTTCGCCACCCGAGCCTCCCCACGAGCATCGCGATCTGCCTAAGGAATGGAGAGCAAAGGAGAGAATTCAGTGCAGGTTCTCAAGAAGAGTGCATCAAACCTAGGCGTTTGATGGGGTCTATTCCCACCTCCTCATGTAATGGAATGTAGCTCAGTAACATTGCCCTGTGAGGAACTCACGTGGTAATGTGCAATCGACCGCATTCTACTTACAGAGGCAAGGCTCAGGGTCAGAAAGAAGCCGAATTTCACGCCCATATTAATCAACAAAACCATCTCTGCCCCTTCACATGAGCCTCGGTTCCTGAAGACAGCCGCGCTTATAGAGTCGGGAAGGTGGGACTGACTGGGGTCCCTCCCCTGACCGGAACTTTCCGGGTGAGCTCAACGGAGATCGAGAGTTGAGGGGAATATCGCCCGTTCAGCGGCAGGTCTGCCAGTAGCGCCACCCTCTCCAGAGCTTCGCTAGACCCGCTCAAAGAGAGAAGGATGTTCGATTTGCCGCCAAAGGGAAGGTTTTACCCCAGTTAGTACATTTGAGAGTTAGGTGGTCAGAGGGATTCCAGGATTTCTCTTGTGTTTCGTTCTCTGAAGCTTCAACATTGGTTATTCAGCGGGAAATGAAGCCTAATTTCTATGGGAGAATCCGGGTTGAATATCTGATCACACTCAGACTTGCCCCTGTGACTGGTTGGATCAATAGGGAGATCTTTTTGCTTACCAATATATATATTGTTCAATCCCCGATTTATTGACTGATCACCGTAAAAAGTGATAGTCCATCAATTTCTCTAATACGACCATCACCACACCCCGCCCCGGCCCATTCGTGCACAATCATGACAAGGTTCAGTGGGAGCAGCTCTGCCTCTTGAATCAAGGGATCTTGGGTTCGAGTCTCACTTCACAGATTTCACTACAAAGTTCAAATTAATCTTCAGTGCAGCACTAAGGAGTTCTGCACTGTCAGAGGTGCTGTCTTTGGGATGAGATGTTAAACCAAATCCCCTCTGCCCTCTCAACTGGATGTAACTGATCTTGTGACATAATTCAGAGGAGAGCAGGTACATTCTCTCTGGTATTTTTGTCAATATTGCATGGAATCACTGCCTCTGAAAATACTTTTCCATCTGGAACAATGCCAGTCCCTCAGTGGCGGGGAGAGTGTTGCCCACCTCCACGATCTTCCCATGGGTAGCTTCTTAATTGCATATCGAGCATGTCATCCAATTAAGGATAGTGGCTGCTGATTCTATCGAGCTCGCACAGGTTTGGAAGACTGGCAGTTCCACCAGAAAAGGTGAACACTGCTCAGGCAGTAAGGAGGTCTTGAAATTGAGATGCTCTTGGAAGATTCCATATAAGACTGTGAGAAAAAGGAACAGCAGTAGGCTGTTCAGACTTTTGAGCTGTTCCACCATTCAATAGGATCATGGTGGATCACACATTTCTCAAATCCACTTTCCTGCCTTTTCCCCATAATGCTTGATTCCTGTATTGATCAAGAATCTATCCATCTCAGCCTTAAATGTAGACAAAGACTACCCCACAGCACTTTGTGGCAAGGAGTTCCAAAGATTCACAACCCTCTTAGAGAAGAAATTCCTCTAATTTCAGTCTTAAGTCATTGTCCCTTTATTCTAAGACTATGCCATCTGGTTATAGACTCTCCATGAGAGGTAATATCCTCTCAGCATTTACACTGTCAAGCCCTTTAAGAAATCTGTATATTTCAATGAGATCACTTCTCAAGTACCCATGAGTACCTTTGTGTTATAGCTTTCTGCGGCTTTTCTCCATTTAAATAATACTCTGATCTTTTGTTGTCCTTATCAAAACGAACCTCACAATTCCCACATTTTTTGCCAAATTTATGTCCACTCATTTAACCTATCAATATCTCTGTTTGTATCCCTTTCACAACTTGCCTTTCCACCTGTTCTTTTGCTATCTGCAAGTTCAAATCTGATAAGGGCTAAGGCTAGTAGGATCCTCAGGGCAGAGGTGAAAACTCTTACAGAAACCACAGGTGCAGACTTTCATGCCCATGGTTATGTCACTGGGCCACTGGCTCCATGGCACCCCAACCTCAGATTCTGTCTTCAGAGTACCATGGTGTTCAGTTCTCATTGGAGAGATTGTTCTGACACTGGAAAGATCCCAACAGAGTGTTCCCAGTTCCCCGAGTTAGCCTCCTCATTATTAAATTTAGGCTACCTGCTACTGCCAGACAGCTAGTTGTTGTCATTGATGACCTACATTTGGCAAGATTGTCTGGAAGCAGGAATAACCTTCTGACACCCCAATTTCCAAATGTGCTCCAGATCCTGCTCTCAAAACCCCTCTGCAGGATTAGGAAAATTCAGCCCATTGAATCCCTTCCAATGTAGCAATGGCCACACTGCAAACGTATTAATTTGGCTGTAAAGAGTTTTGAGACCTGAGATCACTGAAAAACATGTTCAAACGTAGTTATTTTAATCAATCTATTCAGATATATAATGATCCACTTCTGGGGCAGATGGGACTTGAACCTGAACCTTCTAGCCCAGAGGTAGGGGCACCACCACTGGGTTACAAGACCCTTCTCGTGAGTCCATTAAAATGTGTCTGTGGAGATCTTTAAATAGCCCAATACACCATTTGACAGTTCTCGGATATTTTCTAATCAACCTGTTCAGAGATGTTATGACACACCTCAGAAACAGGTAGGACTTGAACTTAGGTCTCTTAACTCAGGGGTAGGGACACTACCACTGCAACACAAGAGCCCCCTTGACACTTCTCACACTTTTATTTTTGAGTTCCTAAAAAAAATCACAGCTGTTCCTCTGTTCATAATCTCTTAGAAGTTTTCTTATCCAGTCATCATTTTCCTAGTCAATTAGCTACCCTCCTAGACAAGATATTCTGGTACAGTTACAACACTGGCAGCTATTCACCAATATGGAAAGTTGCCTAGGTATGCCTCGTCCACTAAAAACAGGACAAATCAAAGCCGGCCAATTGCCAGCCCAGCAGTCTACGCTTAATCATTAACAACTGATGGAAGGCTCATCAGTGATATTTAGTTCACAATAATATGATGCTTAGTTTGGATTTGAACAAAAAACAAAGAACAATACAGCACGGGAACAAGCCCTTTGGCCCTCCATACGTGCGCCGACACATTTTGACCTTCCATATTAAAACTGTCATCACTAACAGGATCTGTATCTCTCTATTCCCTTCCTATTCATGTATTCATCCAGGTGTTTCTTGAATTTTTCTTTTATCCATTCATGGGATGAGGGCATTGCTAGCTAGGCAGCATTCATTGCCCATGCCTAATCCCAGAGGGCGGTTACATTGCTGTGTGTCTGGAGTCACATGTAGGCCAGACCAGGCAAGGATGGTAGTTTCCTTCCCTAAAGGACATTAGTGAACCAGATGGGTTTTTCCAACAAGCGACAATGGATTCATGGTCATTATTAGACTCTTACTTCCAGATATTTATTGAATTCAAATTCCACCATCTGCCAAGGCAGGATTTGAACCCGGGTCCTCAGACATTATCTGGGTCTCTGATTAATAGTCCAGCAATAATACCACCAAGCCATCGCCTCCCCTGCTATTGTGTCTGTTTCCACCACCTCTGGCAGTGTGTTCCAGGCACTCGCCACACTTTGTGGGAAAAACTTGCCTCGCACATCTCTTTTAAACTTCCCTCCTCACACATTGAACCTGTGTCCCTGAGTAATTGACCCACCACCCTGGGAAAAAGCCTCATTTTTTCCACTTTTGGCCAGGGCCATTCGGTGCCTGACCTCATTACAGCCTTGATTCCGTATTTCGGCAAAAGTGTTAAATTCCAGAGGTGAAGCAAGAGTGACTGCTGTTGATATTAAGGAGGGAATTGACTACGTGTGACATTAAGAAACTGAGAACAGCTGAAGGCAGTGAGGCAGGCGTGTATAGCTGAGGAAATTGAATGCAAACTTGAAAGTTTGTTTAATGAGGAGTTCAGTGAAGAGAGAAGGAGGTTTGTTTGCTTTTGCTTTTGAACAATTCCACCATCTAGAATTTAGATGGCTCAATTTTTGTCTATTTGGCGCCAAGTTTCAGGACATCTTCTGAGGATAGGAGAGGAACCTGCCATGGGAAGGGCAGGATCCAATTGTCATGCTCCATGTAAATATTAAAATATAGGTGGAACTGAGAAAGAGGGTTACTAGATATGTCGAATTTCTCCATTGTCTTATGAGGATAGTTCAGACAGGCTTAGTTTGTTTCACTGGAGTTTAGAAGAATGAGGGTAGATTTGATTTTTTTTATTTTCTTGTGAGACATGGATGTCACTGGCTGGTCAGCATTTATTGCCTGTTCCCTAGTTGCCCTTGAGAACATGGTGATGAGCTGCCTTCCTGAACCGCAGCAATCCATGCACTGTAGGGGACCCTCAATGCCATTAGGGAGGGAATTAAAGGATTTTAATCAGTGACAATGAAGGAACCTACACCAATACATAAGCACACATACAGTGCCTAAGGAGCAGTACTACCTGCACTTATGTATTGACCTGTATGTCTACACGGTTTTTGTACATGCTATGTGACACTAGATTTTGAATTATTTTTCTTGGTTCCCTTTTACCTGCAAGTCTGCATCCCCTAATTTATACATGGTATGTCCAAATCTGATCTGCCCTTGAGCAGGTCCCCACTCAGGTCTCATACACATGATACAAGGGAAAAGTTGTTAAGATGGCCATTTGCTTTCCTAAGCTATTTTGCCTTCTCATTTCACTCTGAGGCTGAAACCGGGGCTAAATCCCACTTTTCCATACAATGCCATCTCCACCTTCACTGAACCCCACCAGAAGCAAGTGCAACATCCTCCTTTTCATTTGACTAAAGTTTATACCAAACCTATTCCCTTTTAATTCTTCACATATCATCGTAATTACATCTAGGCATTTTTGAAGCCTATATACAATTAACACTTGTTCATTTTGTTATTGGTTAAGACAGGATCTATGGGATTGCCTTATATTCCCTGTTCACTATCCTACCTAGCATAATGTTTCACATTTTTACCTGCATAAACTATTACCTGCATTCCTTTCTCCCTCCTGGAATGCCTCAGCAGAGAAGCTGTGTGGAAAACAGGGATTGAAATCTTGTGGCCCTATCTCTAACTTGTGCATCTTACACAGTTCAGCTTCTCCTGTTGTCTTGGATATTTTCTCCATGAAGAAATATACCACAATATTAACAATGAATTTCCCTGTCATATATTCTTTATGAGCAATTAATATTTCCTTTAACATTACTTGCTTTGACTTTGCATTTTGTCCACCAGTGCTC